GATTTTACTAATATACAAAACAAGATGAAGTATATTAATATAGTTCAATCTTATTAATGCATGTTCTTAAGACCTGTGAGAGACTTTTTTTTCCAGAAAAGATAATGTGTTTTAAATGAAAATAAAATGAATAAGATTTTAAAAATGTTAAATGGGGTCATATACATATCATCTCATTGTTTCAAAGGAAGGGGCATCAGAGGTTTAATGTTACCACATTATTTTATTTTGCAGGTGAGCTTGTTTGTGGCTTTCTACTACAATGTCATCATTGGCTGGAGTGTGTTTTATTTTTCTCAGTCTTTTCAGTTTCCTCTACCTTGGGATAACTGTCCTTTGGTGAAAAATGCTACACATACTTGTAAGACATGGCCAATATAATGTTTTTATATTTAATGATTATAAAGTTGGTAAAGGAATGAGCTTTCAAGACTTTTAAAAATAATGTAGAAAAAAATTACTATCATAACAACTTTCCTCACATTTAGGATTGCCATACTCAGAGAGATAGAACTTGGGCACCATCTAAGTTTACTAGCTCTTCCCAAGTTACTTCTTCTCAGTTAAGCATAGTTGGTGTACAATATATTAGTAGTTATAATAGTTTCAGGTGTACAATGTGGTGACTTGATATCTCTATAAGTTACAATGTAATAACCCCACTAATTCTAGTAATCATCTGTTACTGTGCAAACCTTTCACAATATTATTGACTACATTCTCCTTCTCGAGTCGTTTTGTTGTGCCCCATGATATTAGGGTGAAATATTGTTAACTTTGACAGCCTTTAATTTTGTACACCTCTTTTGATGCCTTATAGTTTTTGTTAAAATAAAACAAAGGACAAAAAAAAGTACTATTGAAGTAATTGTTTTTATTTCATAGTTTTTCTATCATTTATTTTTATATCCTAGAATATAATAAAGAACATTTCCTTATAATGATGTCAAGTAAATATAGAATATGCCTAAAATTTTCTTGTAGCCACAATTTAACAATAAACAGGTGAAATATTTTATTTAATCCTATGTATCCAAAAATGTTAACATTTCAACGTATAATTAATATAAAGTTATTAATGTAATAATTTGCATTATATTTCTCATATTAAGTCTCCAAAATTTTCTTTGTATTGTATATTACAACACAGGTCATTTCGGGCTAGCTTATTGCAAAAGTCACATATGGTCAGCCACCCGTGCATTTGACAGCTGTGCCCCAGTAAGATAATTCTGGGAGTGGAAGGGACTATAAATTTGATATGTTTTCATTACTTTGATAAAAAGTTCATGTGTTTTTATTAATAATTGTATGATAAGAAATATCAAAGAGGATACATGTCTGTTGATATTTCACTTCTTCTGCAGTTGAGTTTTTATTGTGAATTTAAATGCTTCTGTAGAATAGTAATACTTTTCTAGAAAATGTTGAGAATTGATTTATAGGCTTATTGGGAAAAAATTCTTATTACTCTTTATAATCTGAAATTACTGTGTTATCTTTCTTTCTACAGTGGTAGAGCCAGAATGTGAAAAAAGTTCTGACACCACCTATTACTGGTACAGAAAAGCACTGGATATTTCCAGTTCCATTTCTGAAGGTGGGGGCTTAAACTGGAAGATGACCATCAGCTTGCTGGTTGCCTGGGCCATGGTTTGCTTCGCTATGATCAAAGGCATTCAGTCTTCTGAAAAAGTTAGTGTGTTAGAGACCCTCCTGATTCTGCAATCTCTGTGGGCAAATTGCAAGTAGCACTTTGTTCTACGTAGTTAATTAAAGATTGATAAAAAGTGGTGCTTTTACGATATGTTTACATTAATAAAACGACATAAGCAAAGAGATAAGTGTTTTATACTGAAATATAAAGTAATTTATAATCTTTTATTTCATCAAGAGTTTTGAAATTTTTTGTCAATACCATTTTTTTCTATTTATTGAGTTTACCCTAATATTTTGATTCTCTGATTATCAGTCAGTTCCAAACATGGAAATCGGGGAAAGTGGTAGAATAAAGAAATTTTTCATTTTAGTTGTCTTATATCATTCATTTTTCTATATTGTAGTTATTCTAAGGAATGCTTGCATAAGATATTTTAATATGGTCTCTAGTGTGGAGGGTTTCTTAAAGATCTGAGCAGCACTAGGTAAATTATAAATTATTATGATAATCTCAACAACCCACTCAGAGTAAATCTAAAAGACTAAAGGGCATGCCTTCCAGTGCAAATGGAAAATGTTAAGTGGCTGTGGTTGAAAAAGACATGAAGTGAATTCTAGAAACTTAGAATTCTTTTTTTTTAAGAATACATTAGTAAAGTAATTGTTATTCACTCTTTTGCTTTCATATTGCATTTTTTTATTATTACTGTCATTGTTTTAATGCTCTTATATCTCTTGGATGGACCTAGCAAGAATTTATGATTGATTCTTCTTTGCCTTTAATAATCTATCTCTAATATTTTTTTTTCTTTCCAAAGCATAGATCTGATTGTATATCTTTCCAGGCTAATATATTACCAATCACCAGCATATACTAGTAGAAGTGGAGATAATAGTAGTAGTAGTAATAAATGATGATAGTGAAGGTGATTCCCACAATGATCAGGCAGAAGCCAATATTTATTGCAAGTGCTTTTTGCTCTAGGAAGTGTGACAGGTACTTTATATATTTTATCCCATTGAATTCTAAAGAAAACTCTAAGAAGTAATTACTATTCTCAGGCCTTCTTTATAGATATAAAATAATTTTGAGAAATTAGGTAATTTCCCTAAAGAATCGTGGCTAGTAATTGCTACCTGGAGTAAAACTCAGCTCTGTGTAAATCTAGAGCCCATATTATTTAATTGCAACCCTATAATGCCTCTCACTGCCATATTTTTTTACATCATATAGTTAACATTTTTAGGTCAGAAGTCTACGTAATTCATCTTTGCTTCCTGTTACTTCATCTTAAATTAAAAATGTTTGATGATTTTAACTTGTAAATCACAACTAATTTCATATTTACCTTCCTGCTGGAACTCCCACACCATTTTTCCTTTGGAAAAATCAATGTGATAAATAACACATCTAAATATCTTTTCATCTTTTTCTGAGTGTCAATATACAATGAAATAAGTTCAATTAATTGGTTCAATTTGGTGTCTTCTACCATTCTGAGACACATTGCAGTCATATTTCAAATAAAGGAATAGATTCTTAAGTCACATCTAAGCACATTTACATGTTTCTTAAGATAATGTCATTTGGTAGAAAGAGAACCAAAAGTGGTTAGCCAGAGAAGTAAAAAAATTCTTTGTGCTTGAGTCTTACTGCCACATTTTGTTTCTTCTTAATCTGAGTGTGTCTTATCATTATTTTTTTTAAAAAATTCATCCTTTTCTTATCACAAAATTTTGTGGTTATTTTTCTTATTCATACAATATAACTTTAGAAAATTTTAATATAAACTTATATATCATATATAATTTATTATTTAAATTAGAAGGTTTCAGTGGCTTTGGGGCAATATTTGAATAAAGTATTCAGTAGTCACAGATGAGGAAAAAGCTGTAATTTGAGCAAAGATATGAAAATTGAAATTGTTATAATTCCTCAGTCTGAAACAAGTTAAACTTAATAGAGAAATGTGTGCCAGGGATAAATATAAAGCTCTCTGTTTGCCTGTGAAACAAAAAGAGCCCCCAAATAAATAATCACACAAGTACAGGATAGAGAAACATAATTTATGGGCAATATGGTTTAAAGGTAGTATATGAAAATACCATTTAGAGAATTTAGCAGTTAAAAGAAGAATGTGAGTCAACTTGCATTAGGCTTTGTCAACACACACACACACACACACACAGACACACACCACAAGGACTGACTAGAAACTTCATGAGATAAAAGAAGAGTATGATAATGTCAGTCTCCTTTGGGCCAGTAGGCACACCTCAGCTGATCCATGCCTGTAATACTGGATTTTACTGAAATCTTTATTTCTCCCTGTATTGTGGAGAGAAATTTCAACCCTGTGATCGCAATCTTCACCTCGCTGAATAAAAAGAAGAATAAGGCTTAATCTGTGCTACAGAGAACAGAACTATGGTCAAATAGTGTGAATTACGGAGAATGGTGGGGTAGTGATACATCCTCAAATAAAGGAAGACTTTTCAGGAATCAAGCCTGATAACAAGGAAACGAGTTCTCTCAGTGAGTGTGAGCATGTCCCTTTGTTACGGTCTCTGTTAAGGGGATACCTGCCCCAAGATGAAGTATGCAAATGAGAGGTTCTAATTTTTCTTCTAACTCTAAGTTAATACTTTTTGGCCAGTACTACTTTGCCATTATTTCCTACTACTATGCTAAGGACTTGGTGTACATTAGCATGTGTAAATCTTTCTATCAGTCAGGTGATTTGCATCTACACTAATAAAAGACAAAGATGCTAATTGACCATACCTTTGCTATGACTCAAGCCACGCCCACCAGCCAATCATAGCGACTATATGCAAATTAACCCAACCAAGATGGCGGCCGGCAGCCACGGAGCTGGAGCAAGCAGGAGGCTTGGTTGCCTGGGAGATGGAGGAAGCCAAGCTTCCCGCCTACCCTGAGCTGGCTGTTGCCTTTGCTCGTGGCAACAAAGTTTCAATTATAGAAGACAAATAAATCCCAGATACCTGCTTCCAGCCAGCCTCCACTGGGAGCTTGGGTGGCTGGAGGCCGTGGCCAGCCTGCAAACAGCCATCAGTCCCTCACCCAGGCTG